ATTTTACAGAGCAAAGGGGGGTGGACAGTGATCTCAATGCTAGAAGGTAATCTATAATCCTGTTATTTTTCAGACATATATATTCCCTTTATTATTTATAAAGCGCCAACAGATTCCGCAGTGCTAAAGCGTCTCTGTCATGTCTTTCATAGAGATGAACTCTTTATGAAATAGTTTGTTATATTTCATTGAAATTCCACCACAATCAATAGATATCATAAGACAAAGTATGAACTACGTATGGACAAAACCAAGGTTGACAAAACTTAACATAAGGCAGAGTTCAGCAATCAGCTGTCTTTTGTCAGTTCCCACCAGGCACCACTAGTGATGGCTGTGGGAAAAGGCATCTTCTTGTGCATAGCATGAATATTAGCATGGTGGATACTGCAGTCAGTTTTGATGATCTTAACAAAGGTGTCAGAACAAGGACGGAGCCATGGCGGACCCAAGCGACTCTGCATAAGAGGTAAGTTTTAGTACCTTTTAACGAGGCAAAGGGGGTGGGGGCAGATATCTAAAATGGGTTTCAAACACTAAGTCGTCAGGAATACACATTTTTATTCGTGACACTATAGTGCCCCTTTAAATTGCCATGCAATACAGTTGTTTGAGAATTAATGACATGATTACCAATTACAACTTACCACTTAGCAGGGACCTGCAAGTCCTATATAAATTAGCTATATTTACCGGTTTTGGAACCTGTGAGACCAGCAACAATGATCAAACTTAGGGACCTGCATGTCCCATTGTTCAACAACTGTGTGTGCTGGCATTATTTTATTCAATGCAGACGTTCTGGTCACTGATCATGATTTTAATTCCAGCTAAATTCTGATTGGCTAAAAGCAGCAAACATAACAATTAAATACAGCTTTAATAAAAATTTTAAAAAAATCAGCTTTGCTTTGAAACATAGGTTTATTGTAGCAGTAAAATAACAGGTAACTTCCATAACATTTCTATACATATTGGAACTTGTTTCAGAATGCTGTTTCATATAAAGGTCATTTACATTCATAGATTACTAACCTTTTAAAATTGAAATATCTCACAAAGTAGGAATATTCTCACTGGTATCAGAGAAAACTAAGTGGGAAACACGCAAGTCTGATATCAAAGAAGCTGACACAGACTGAACGTCTGTGTGATGTGCTGGAACAACAAATCCGATTCATGGACGTTAAAACCTCCAACTTGCAGGATTCCTAGTGTCTTGGAGCCAGATACCAAAGGGCAAATTCAGAGGTTTTGTGGAGTCAATGCCTCAATGCATCAGATCTGTTTTGACAGCACGAGGGGATCCTACATGATATTAGGCAGGTGGATTTAATGTTATATATATATATATATATATATATATAGACATAAAACAAAAAGAAGCCTTGCACTCCTACCAAAATAAACTTGAGACCTGGTGCTAGATTGCACAATAAATACAAAACCAATGAAGAATCAGCACTCTCAGGATTTTTGAATAAGTAAAAAAATACTTTACTCCATATATCCTGATATATGGAGTAAAGTATTTTTTTACTTATTCAAAAATCCTGAGAGTGCTGATTCTTCATTGGTTTTGTATATATATATATATATATATATATATATATATATATATATATATACTCTAAACAAAATTATAAACGCAACACTTTTGTTTTTGCCCCCATGTACACAAAGGGCCTATTTCTCTCAACTATTGTTCACAAATCTGTCTAAATCTCTGTCAGTGAGCACTTCTCCTTTGTCGAGATAATCCATCCACCTCACAGGTGTGGCATATTAAGATGCTGATTAGACAGCATGATTATTGCACAGGTGTGCCTTAAGCTGGCTACAATAAAAGGCCACTCTAAAATGTGCAATATCAAAGCAGCAGTGGCATCTCCAGGATTCATACTTAGGCACATATGGGGCCAGAGACAAAAGTAGGGGGGCAGTTTTAAAACGTGTGTGTTTATATATATATATATATATATATATATATATATACACATGTATACACAGGGCTCGACAAATTCCAGGCGCCAACTCACAATGACGACTAGACGCTTGGCATTTGTCAGCCCTTTGTTAAGCTGTGCAGGAAACATTAAAGCCGGTCTCCACTGGAGCATGGAGGCAGTGCATGAGGGAGCAGTAACCTTCCTGCACTTCCTCTATGCTCCCTCACTACAGGGAGCGCGCAGAGGAGCAGAGAGAAACTGCGGGAAGACTGAGAGGAGATACACTGGACGTCAGGGAAAGATCCACTAAGTTCTCCCAAAGGTAGGGAGGCTGGGTGGATTTAAATAAAAATAAAAATAGCAATTTGTGAATGTGTGAAAAAATATGTGTGTGTGTGTGTGCATGCTGAAAGGGCCTGTAAAGTTTGTGCGTGTGCATCTAGGGGCTGCATTGTGAGTGTATGTGTATTGGGGTTGCATTGTGTGCTTATATATATTTTACCAAATCTCATATATAGGTTATATAAATACCCCCACACACACACATATATATATATTTATATATGAGATTTGGTGTGTAATGAGGTGGAGCATTGATGTATGGATGTATGTGTGTGTGTGGGGGTGAAGGTATGTGGAGAAGAAGTGTGTATGTGGGTGAAGAGATGATGAGTGTGAGGGGTGCACTGTGTGTGTATGCAAAGGTGTACTCTGTGTTGGTGGGAGTGTACTGTATGTAGGGGGTTCACTGTCTGTGAGGGTGTGCTGTGTTCAGGGGGTGTAGAGAGTGGGATAGGGAAGAGCTTTACAATTTTGACTTTAATAATTGTTTAAAAAAAAAAAAAATATATCACCCTTTCCCTGATCTTACCTTGCAGGGAGGGGGTGGAACAATCAGATCTGTGGTGGTTGAGAAGGCTGCCTATCCATCGGGTACAGGGGAGGTCACGAGATGAGAGGTATCTCTCTTAGAGCTCAAGCACTTACACAGACTGACCCATACACATACACAGGCAGACCCATACACACACACACACACACACACACACACACAGACTCCAATCCACACACACAGACTGACCCATGCATACACACATACTGCTCCCCCACACATACTGACCCATACATACATAGACTGACCCCCCCCACACACACAGACTGACCCACACACACAGACTGACCCACCCCACACAGACTGACCAATACACTCACACATACTGCTCCCCCACACAGACTGACCCATACATACACAGACTGACCCACACACACAGACTGACCCACCCCACACAGACTGACCAATACACACACACACAGACTGACTCCCCACATACAGACTGACCCCCACACACACAGACTGACCCCCCGCAGGCTGACCCCCCACACACACAGACAGACCCCACATACAGACTGCCCCCCACACACAGACTGACCCTCCCCCTCACACACACAGACCGACCCTCCCCCCACACACACAGACTGACCCTCCCCCCACACACACAGACTGAACCACACACTGACTCCCACTTACCAGCAGCTGCCTGGATGTCTCTGTGCTGAGCTGAGCTTCCACTCTCTGTCTCTCCCCTGCGCTGGTCTCTGTGACCCAGGTGGAAGTCTTCCCAGCACAGTGCCCTCTCTGGCCGCACGTGGGAAATAGGTGGAACATATTTCTACAGTGACCGTGCTGCTGCAGCTTGTGAAGGGAGACTCAGTGCTCCCAACTTCAATTTCAATCAAAGAAATAGGCCTTTTGTGTACATAAAAAAAAGTCTTAGATCTTTGAGTTCAGCTCATGAAAAATGGGGGCAAAACCAAAAGTGTTGCGTTTATAATTTTCTTCAGTGTATATATACACACACACACACACACAAAATGTGGCCCTGTCAAGCAGAAATTTAAACCTGGAAAATGTGCTATGGATACAGCCTTGAGGTGGCTAATAACCTTGAATGTCTGGCTAATGAAGCAGGGAGGGTATTTAAAAACATTTTTTTTTAATCTTTTGGCAAAACAATAATTTTCTTAAAGAAAATGTTTTCTGCTGTCAAACTGCATAAAACAAACATTGCAGCTCCCTCCTAGCCCTGAGGTATTCTAAACAATTAGAGGCTTGTTTCATAAATGTAGACATTATTTAAAGAGTAATGGTGTCAAATTGTGTTTAAACCACTCAGCATGTGAAAGTATTTGCACAGTATTCCTTCCTTTTTTCTTATTTTTCTTAGCTAAAATTATCTTTAAAAAAAAAGTTGGAATTCTAGGGACACTGTAGGCTCTGTAACTGCTTCATCGTCAAGTGTTTATAGCAGTGATGGCGAACCTTTTTGAGCCCGAGTGCCCAAACCGCAATACATGCCAACTTTTTTTCCTCAAAATGCCAACACGGCAAGTTTAGAAAAAAACAACTCGTACAGTTGACCGAACTAATTAACATCTTTTGTTTTAAAAGAAGAACATAACAGAGAGTTCAATGATACAAACTGTTTTTTTATTGAAAAAACATCAATTCTAGTAAATTAAAACACACTGGTGTTCGGTGGTGCTTCACCTTATTAACCCCTTAAGGACCAAACTTCTGAAATAAAAGGGAATCATGACATGTCACAGGGGTTAAGGACCTATTCCCACCTATCCACCTGCAGTTTGCATGCATCTTACATGCTGCTTTGGCACAGTTTACATCAGAATTACATCCGTCTTACATCCAGTTTTGGTGCAGCTTTCTATGTAAGTCAAAGGACATACATTTTTCATCAGGTTTCTGTCCGTCCAGCTGCACCAAAACTGCATGTAAACTGTGCCAAAGATGCGTACAAGGGGATACTCAACTTGTAATATGATTACATGCCAGGCTGAAATTGTATGAGGAAAGTCTTACTCTGGGTCCTTTCTCTGCTTCTACAGTTACAGTAAATGTCAACCTGAATTAGGATGAGCAAGATAAACAAGGAAACTAGACTTGCTTAACACACTTTAAGCAACTCCTAAATTAGTGTCTTGGACACAAACACTGCATTAGTAAAAGTTTGCAGTTAGCATTCTTTTGCACAATTAATGTGATTTTTGCTGCTGTATACATGCTGCACATTTGTCAAATCTTGGCTCATACTCCGTTAGTTTGAGAACAGCACATGCAGCACTCAATTCATCTGTTAGTCTGTTTCTGGTATCAGATTTGATATAATTCAATGCTGAAAACAGCTGCTCACAAGCATAAGACGACCCAAACAACGAAAGAAGAGCAATCCCAAGTGCTTTCATTGACTTAAAATTATTCGGCAGAGAATTCCACACTTTAAGGATTTCATTTTCAGAACCACCAACTTTGCTGTCCGTTGTCATCCCTTCACATTCTATCTTCTCAAGTGTGGCACGCAGGGCATAGAATTTATTTTTCCAGATAGAGCTTTCTTGAAATTCTAATAGCTCCATTTCCAGATTTTCTAAATCTAACCAGTGTAAGCAGGAAATATCAAGCTCTTCATATTTGGCTTTATCTGGAGAAGTGAGAAAATACAGGGTTGTCTCAATTTTCCAGAACTGCAAGAATCTGTTACTAAAATTCTCCTTAGCAGCTGCTACAATGCTAGAAAGTTCCTTGTGGATTTCCTGATGGCTTGGAGGATTGTCCGTAAATATTGTAGAATTTTCCAAATGTATTTTTAGATTTGGAAAGTATTTCAGCTGCCCACTTTCAATGCCTCTTTCAAAAACCTGCAGCTTTTTCTCAAATGTTCTGATATCACAAAACATCCTTTCCGCTGTTTTCCCTGCACCTTGCAGTGTTTTGTTTAGTACATTGAAGTGTGCTGTAAAATGAGGTTGGTAAGCCAGGTCGTATCAGTAAGCTGCGGATATTCTTGCCGCTTTTCATTCATAAACAGCCTAATTTCAGCCAAACAAGCCACAAATCTCTCCAGGACTCGTCCTCTCCTCAGCCATCGGACGTTATTGTACATAAGTAAAGTGTTATACTGTGCATCTACCTCATCAATAAGTACTTGAACCTGTCGAAAATGAAGAGCATGAGCCATGATGTAATTCACCATTTTAGTGACATCTTTGCTGCTGTCCCTGGCACAAAGAGCTTCCTGGTGTATAATACTATTAAACTATATGAGTGGATGTTTTGCTTCTTTAACAAAGAACTGTATAAAACCAGATGTTGCCCCAACCATGCAAGGTGCTCCGTCACTAGTAATGGATACCACCTTTTCTGGTCTTATTTCTTGTGCCAAAAGCCTCCATCACAGCATTGTGGATATCTATTCCTTGTGTTCTTCTAGGCAAGGACAACAGTTTTAATAGCTCTTCCCTCATGATGTCACCAACAGCATAACGCAAAATTACTGCTAGCCTTGCATGATTATTTATATCTGTGCTTTCATCCAAGCACATGGAGTAACAGGCTGCCTTTTGTAAATCAGTGCAGAGCTGCTGACTAACATCGCTTCCCATGCGCAGGACTCTACCTTTAACAGTATTTCTACTAACTGGCATCTCAGAGATGCATTGCATAATTTTATCCTTGTTTGGGAAATCATGAAAAAGGGAACTACTCCCAGCCAACATGGCCATTTTGATAAAATCCCCATCAGAAAGAGGCTTACCATGTTTTGCTATGCACAGTGAAATTTGAAAGCCGGCAACTGTCAGATGAAAGTTGGAAAAACTACGATACTGGGAGTGGTATTTCCTCAATGTCTCCTTAAGAAACTCTTTTCTTTCAGATTCTCTAAGTTTGGCAACACTTTTGTGGTTGGTGTCAAAGTGACATCTAACACTTGATGTACGGGACACAACACTTTCACTACACAGAATACATAATGCTTTTACATTGCTTTCAATCACTCCAAATGATTCTGTCCAAGCTTCTTAGAATGATCTTCCACTATCTGTTTTAAACTTTGCTTTTTTTGCTGGACTCATTTTTTGTGTTTGTGACATGAGGTCTATAAAAACACAAAATATATAAAAACAAAACACTGTAAGAGTACATATCGCTCACCAGCACAAAGAAACAGTACATATCACTTATTACCACACTACGAATGTAAAGGGTGGAAAGGATCAGTGGTGTACTAAGGGGGGCGGGGGCGGAGGGGGCGGTCCACCCGGGTGCCACCAGGGTGGGGGGTGCCAGGACCCTGGTCTGGAGGGGACTGTGTGAGCTGCAAGGGCACACAGTGCCCCATGGTAGTTAGGGTGCCGTGCGGCCAGAACAGCTCACACACGCAAAGAGCAGCTGAACTAGCCGCACGGAGGTAAATTGGGGCGGAGCTAATTAAAAATCGGGGCGGAGCCAAACTGGCAGTGGGGGCGGGGCTTGATATGGCCCATACCGGTTACTGCTATCACTGCTGCACATGGAGGTGCAGCAAGATGGAATCCCTGCCTCTCCACAGGCTTCAGGGAATCCAGTCCTCCTCCAGCCCACTGTCTGTAAGTAATAGTGTGTGACTGTAACAGTGTATGTATGTGTGTGTGTGAGACTGTCTGCCTGTAACTTTGTGTGTATGTGTGTGTGTATGTGTCTGCCTGTAAGTGTGTGTGTGTGTGTGTGTGTAACTCTCTGCATGTAACTGTGTGTGTGAGTGACTGTATATGTGACTGTCTGTCTGTAACTGTGTGCTTGACTGTCTGGCTATGACTGTGTGTGACTACATGTAACTGACTGTGTGTGTAACTGTCTGCCTATAACTGTGTGTGTGACTGCATGTGACTATGTATGTGTGGCTGTCTGCCTGTGACTGTGTGCATGACTGTCTGCAAGTGACTGTGTACGTGTGACTGTCTGCCTGTTACTGTGTGTGACTGTCTGCCTGTAACTGTGTGTGTGTGACTGTCTGCCTATAAATGTGTCTGTGGGTCTGCAGGGATTTTGTAAAAGGGGGCAGGGGTTTTGAGTTGGGACAGGAGTCTTTATAAGGGGGGATAAGCAGGGAATTTGTGGAAGGGGGTTGCGGTAGGTTTTGTAGATGGGGCAGTACAGGATTTGTAGAAGTGGGCAGGACAGGGGTTTTAAAGGAGGGGCGGGAAAGGACAAGGGTTTTGGAGGACGGGTTGACAGCGGTTTTGCAAAGTTTACAAATTGTAAAAAAAAGAAAACTTTACATTTGTTTTACAGGTTGTTTTTTTTTGCGGGGGGGGGGGAGGCTGGGGGCGTGGGGGTTCCAAGCACAGGATCCGCCCCGGGTGCCAAATGCTCTAGGTACGCCCCTTGAAAGGATACTCATCATTTATTACCACACTGGCAGGTTTGACAGTCGTAGCGTGCTGGTGAGTGACATGTACCCTCACAGTGTAGTAATACGTGATATGTCTCTTTGTGTTTGACGGAGTTAGATGCAGAGAGAGGGCACCGGAAGCTTCATTTTGGCGGCTGGTACATGTTAGAATTTGTTTTTTCTGGTCTGTTGTGGGGCTTGTCACAAAGGCTGCAAAAATTGGCATGTGACAGTAACTCTTTAATGACATAGGTAGCTTTTATCAAGGCCTTTTTAATCATTCTTTTTTTAAATAAAAATGTTTAATCTGGGTTGGATATATACCAGATTCAACCTCTGCAAAAAAAGTGTCCAAGGTCTTTTAAGGCATGGGAGCAATTTAGAGGAATTTTAAGTGCTGCAAAAAAGAAATAAAATAATCAAAACAATCAGCCAATTAATTATGAAAATTAATTCAGCAGACTGGGTGTGTACTCAGCTGTCTGTGTGTGTGTGTGTGTACTTAGCTGTCTGTGTGTGTACTCAGCTGTCTGGGCATACTCAGCAGTCTGGTGAATACACACACTGCTACATACACACACAGACAGACTGCTGAATACACTTATATAGTCTGCTGACTACACACAATGCTGGATACACATAGACAGAATGCTGAGTACACACAGTCTGCTGAGTACACACAGTCTGCTGAGTACACACACACAGTCTGCTGAGTACAAAAAGACAGTCTGCTGAGTACACACACAGTCTGCCGAGTACACACACACACACACACACACACAGTCTGCTGAGTACACGCACACACACAGTCTGCTGAGTACACACACACACAGTCTGCTGAGTACACACACACACAGTCCACTGAATACACACACAGACTGCTGAATACACACACACAGCTGAGTACACACACTCTGCTGAATACACACACAATCTGCTGAAACACACACTGCTGAATGCACGCAGCTGAATACACACACACACAGAATGTTGAGTACACACTGTTTGCTAAATACACACACACAGACTGCTGAGTACACACACACACAGACCACTGAGTACACACACACACACAGACCGCTGAGTACACACACACAGACCGCTGAGTACATACAGACTTCTGAGTACACACACACCACTGAGCACTCACACACATACAGACTGATAAATACACACACATACACTGCATTGAGGGGTGCAGTGTATGTGTTTGTGTGTGAGGTGTGCTGTGTTAGTGGAGGTGCTGTGTGTGAGTGGGTGGGGGGTGTTATGTGAGTGGGGGGGGTGCTGTGTGTGAGTGGGGGAGTGCTGTGTGAGAGTGGGGGTGCTGTGTGAGAGTGGGGGTGCTGTATGAGAGTGGGGGTGCTGTGTGAGAGTGGGGGGGTGCTGTGTGAGAGTGGGAGGGTGCTGTGAGAGTGGGGGGATGCTGTGAGAGTGGGGGATGCTGTGTGAGAGTGGGGGGGTGCTGTGTGAGAGTGGGGGGGTTAGGTATGAGAGTGGTGGGGTGCTGTGTGAGAGTGGGGTGTGCTGTGTGAGAGTGGGGTGTGCTGTGTGAGAGTGGGGGGATGCTGTGTGAGCAGTAATGCCGAACCACACCAGCCGTCTCCCACCTCCAGGCCACCTATGGCCGCGTGCCCACAGAAAGGGCCCGTCGTGCCACCTGTGGCATGCGTGCCATAGGTTCGCCATCACTGGTTTATAGTTTCTGGAGACCCCTGGCCACATCCACAAAACAGTGTTAAACTGTTTTAATGATTTAATGCTAAATAAAAGTTGCCAGTAGCCCATTTCATCCGTGCTGCTTCAACTAATGAGGAAGCAGCAGGCTGAGCAGCAATGTGTGGCTGTGATTGGCTGAGAGTGTCAGCTGATCACTTTCACCCTATTACAGTGCCCATTGTTGGTATAAATTGGTATAGCTACAAGGAAACGTGTAAACTCTGCTTTAACCATTCCTTCAGTAGGGGCAAAGCTATGGGGACTCCTTATTCAGTGTTAAACTGCTCGAAAATGGTTTAACAGTGAATGGAAGGACAGTGCCAGGGGACTCCAGGCATTATAACTAATTGAGCTGAAATGGTTATAGAGCTAACAGTGCCCATTTAAACATGGCAGGAAAAACTTTGTAAGCTTGATAAATGTAGAAGTATTTTATATGAATGTTAATTTCCCTGCCTTGAAGTCAATGGGAAAATATCCATTGTAAACGTAATGGCAATTTTAACATGGCTGCTAAAAGCTGTGTTGTGATTGGCTGGATGTATAGTGGCAGGAGGCACTTCGCGACAGAGTGCTCATCACGTACCTAGAGCCAGCATTAAAAGGTACCATTTTATGGCCTGGGGCTTGGATTTATATATATCTATCTATCTATCTGGAAGGTAATGAGGTAATGAGGGAGTGACTAGAACTCATCATTTAGCGCCAGGGGACTGGGCATCCCCTGTCTCAGTGGCGTACACATGACCCATGGGGCCCCGGTGCGAAAATTGATCCGTGGGCCCCCCGCCCCCCACGCTTACTCTG